AAATACGAAAACAACATACACAACCATATCAGGCATAGGGGATTCTACACTTGAAACAAACAAGGTTGTTGAGCTATTTACAAAATCGCACTCAGGCGATTATTCAACTTCATGCACTGCGATCGTTACAACAACTATCACAGATCCTCAACCAAACTTTAACGTAAACATTTCAGATTGGTCAATTCCAAACAACATCACCTTAGCTGATCCGATGTTTTTCAAATCACAGAGAATCGATGTGTTACTAGGTGGCGGCTTATTTTTTAACTTATTGTGTATTGGACAAATTCGTCTGGAAAATAATTTTATGTTACAGAAGACAAGGCTGGGTTGGATAGCATCAGGTGGCGGTATTATTCCAAAATACAATCACTCATTTTCGTTAGCTATAGCTAAGAAATCAACCACTGAATTGGAATTTGAAAATGAAAAATCGTTAAATGAAATTGTAAAAAGGTTTTGGGAAATAGAAAATTGTTTTGACGCGCACTCTTCGCTAACAGACGAAGACGCATATTGCGAAACCCATTTCAAACAAAATTTTACTCGGTTAGATTCTGGTAAATATTCTGTTTTACTTCCTAAGCAGCGTAATATCGACTCACTCGGAGATTCTTATAATCATGCACTTCAACGATTTCACAGTTTAGAAAGAAAGTTGCAACGTAATGCTGATTTAAAAACTCAATATGTTGATTTTATTAATGAGTATATAAATTTAAAGCACATGTCACCAGCACAATTACCATCAGGTGTTCCAACGTGTTTTTTACCTCATCATTGTGTGCTAAAAAATGAAAGTACAACTACAAAATTGCGTGTGGTTTTCGATGGGTCAGCTAAAACATCCACCGGATTTTCTCTTAATGATCTGCTGATGTCTGGACCTACAATTCAATCCACACTCTTTGAATTAATTATTCGATTCCGATATTTTAAAATTGCTCTTTGTGGAGATATCTGTAAAATGTATCGATGCGTGCGTGTTACACATCCCGATGAATATCTTCAGTGCATTTTGTGGAGAAGTAATCTCGATGATGACGTAAAGGTATTCAAATTGGACACTGTGACATATGGAACAAGGCCAGCTGCATTTTTAGCTATTCGAGCAATGCATCAGCTGGCTCGCGATGAAGAGAAATCATACCCATTGGGTTCTAAAATCGTTCTCAGAGATTTTTATGTAGATGATTTAATGTCAGGCGGCGACACCGTGGATGAAGTAATCAACATTAGAAGGCAAACTACTGAATTATTAAAAAAGGGTGGTTTCCAGATCAGAAAATGGTGTTCCAATAATCCAAGAGTATTGTGTGGTATCGCTGAATCCGAACGTGTACAATTATTGAAATTTAAAGATGGTTCTGATATTACTAAAGCATTAGGTTTAGTATGGGATCCAAACCACGACAATTTTTTATTTTCATTTACTCCAGTGGTAGGTAGCCAGCAAATTAACAAACGTACTGTTCTCTCAACTATAGCCCGTTTTTATGATCCAATCGGATTAATTGGACCTATCATCACCAAGGCTAAAATTTTCATGCAAACCTTATGGAAACACAAATTGCATTGGGATGAGAGTCTACCACAAGCATTATACTCAGCATGGATTGAACTTCGCTCTCAACTTACAATTATCAGCAGTTTTAAATTCCCTCGTTATGTTTTAATGCCTAATTCTAAAGTGCAGATACATGGTTTCTGTGATGCCAGTCTGAGTGCTTATGGTGCATGTATATATATCAGGTGTGAGCGCTCGGGTGCATTTGATTCGCATCTACTATGCTCCAAATCAAAGGTTGCACCACTAAAGACACTTACAGTTCCCAAGCTAGAACTTTCAGCTGCTCTACTTTTATCGGAACTCATTGATATGGTCGTCAAAACTATAAATTTTACATGCGATTTTCATTGCTGGTCAGACTCAATGGTGGTATTATCTTGGATACGTGAACAACCGTCCAATTTTAACGTTTTTGTCTCTAATAGAATTAGCAAAATTCAAACTCTTACCTGTGGCATGAATTGGCATCATGTACCAACTTCTATGAATCCTGCAGATATCTTATCAAGAGGAGCAGCGCCAGATGAACTTTTAGCCTCAACACTTTGGACACAAGGACCTGAGTTTTTAAGAACATCGCATTTACATTGGCCCCAAAATACTGTTTTCGTAGCAGAATTACCTGAACGACGCAGGAGAGTTTTAATAACTACATGTCAGCAAGATTTAACGCTATCCTGTAAATTCGCTAACTCATTTAATAAAATGCAGATAGTTTTCGCATATATTTATCGATTCGTGTCACTCAAACATAAAGAGACCATAAGGAAAACTGGCCAACTTGATCCTCAGGATATTGAAAGGGGTACAAAATTAATGATTTTAAACATACAACAAACTCATTTCGCTGCTGAATACAAAATATTAAAAAAAAGAGGAAATGTTAATAGTTCAAGTAAACTTTACTCCCTCAATCCTTTTATTGATTCATTTGGAGTAATTCGTGTAGGTGGTCGACTAAAACATTCATTACTAAGTTTCGAGGCTCGCCATCCAATGATACTTCCAAAAGCTCATGTTATCACAAACGCAATGATAACCTATTTTCATCAGAAGAATTTGCACGCCGGGCCACAAAGTCTGCTCGCCACAATTCGTTTGCAATATTGGCCAATTGGTGGTCGAAAAACTATAACACGCGTTATCAACAAATGTGTTCGTTGTTTTCGACTTAAGCAAAAACATGTCGAATATATAATGGGAGATCTACCGCGCGACAGAGTGCAACCAAATAGAGTATTCCACACTACTGGTATCGACTTCTGCGGTCCCTTCTATTATAAATCTGAAGTGCGAACCAGACCTCCAGTAAAATGCTACATCTGTTTATTCGTTTGTTTTTCGACGAAGGCTGTACATTTAGAAGTGGTAAAAGATCTAACTACATCATCGTTCTTAGCTGCTTTGAAACGTTTTACTTGTATTCGTGGAAATCCCAAAATAATTTGGTCTGACAATGCCACGAATTTCGTTGGTGCAAGGAACGAGTTGGCTGAAGTAAAACAATTGTTCGAAAGTAGCCAACATCTTAAAAATATTCATCAGCATTGTCTAAGCGATGGCATAGAATGGAAATTTATACCACCTAGATCTCCACACTTTGGTGGTCTCTGGGAGGCTGCCATAAAATCTGCAAAGCGTTTGTTTTACAGCACTGTTGGACTTTCAATCTTATCATTTGAAGAATTACGCACACTCGCATGCCAGTTATCGGCAGTGCTTAATTCTCGCCCTCTTTGTTCTATTTCAGAAAATCCAGACGATTTAGAAGTCCTCACACCAGCTCATTTTTTGGTGGGTGGTCCGCTAATATCAATATCTGAGCCCAACCTTACCACGTCTGACTTCTCTCGCTTAGACAGATGGCAACGAGTTAATTATATGCTACAAATATTTTGGAAAAGGTGGAGTGTCAACTACCTCACCCTATTGCAAGAGCGTAGCAAATGGCGCTCACCTGCAGCAAATGTTCGTGTTGGAGATATAGTACTAATACATGAAGACAATGTTCCACCTCTTAAATGGCATTTAGGCCGCATCACCAGCATAATATGCGGATCTGACAATGTGGCTCGAGTGGCGGAAATACGCACGAATATAGGAATTATCAAACGTGCAGTAAGGAAGGTGGCAGTTCTTCCAATAGACGATAAATATGTTTAAAGTCTGAGCCTTTCAACCGGGGGAGGATGTTTAGAGTAGTAATAATTATTTTTAACATTGTTTTACACTGCAACACTGTTTGTTTGAAAGGTGATTTGCATTTCATTTTTGCTTTATTAAATCTTTGTTCTTGCTTTTTTGCCTTTTATGCTTTGTATCAAAATTTGCAACTCTCTCTTACCGGTTGATCGTTGGCGAAGACGCACGCATTTTGTTTCACTCGTTTATAAACTTTCAAATTTTGTAAAATAAATAAGAATGTACATTTATATAAAATATTATCATTTCGAAACAATATATAAATAAATAATTACAAAGTGATAAAAAATATTATCATATCAAAACAATACATTTACATATATATATATTATATTTAGTACTAGGTGACCCCGCGAACTTCGTACCGCGTAACAGTCAATAAATGTTATATTAAATTATAGGTAAACTATATTTAGAAATTTATTAACGTAATAAAATGAATACAAAAAATTTATTGTATTCAATAGTTTATTAGGATATTGATACATAATTAATTATTTTAATGGTCTGTCAGCAAGAACTTATGGGTTGCACTCCGATTGATTCTCTTCAATAAAGAACCTTGTGATATACGATATTTTTTGTTTTTTTATCAGGCGCAAGAACAAATAAAGCAGATGGTTTGCCTACACGTGAACATACCACGTACAATTGACCATGTGAAAAACATGCATTTTCTAGATTCAGACCACAAACACTAAAGGATTGGCCTTGTGATTTATTTATAGTCATAGCGAATGCAAGCCGAATAGGAAATTGAATTCGTTTAAACTCAAAGGGCATATCGATTAAGATCATTGGAATCCTCGGAATGAGAACTTCATCACTTTTGAATTTTCCTTTGAGTATCATTGCGTGAATCACATTGGCCATCAGTTTTGTTATCACTAAACGCGTTCCATTGCATAGTTTTGGTTGGTTTAGATTTCGAAGCATAATGACTACCGAGCCAATCTTTAATTGTAAATTGTGCGGTGGTAAGCCAGGCACATCCAAGGAGTTCAAAAATTCAGTTGGATAGTTGGTAGCTTCTTCTTCGTTTGTTACACAGTCAATAGATTTGAATGTATGCAGAGTACCAACGATTTGATTTTGAATTACAAAGCTTAAGTCATTCACATCTTTGTTCTTAGCTGTCAAAATTGCTCGCTCACTCAACCATTTTTTGTTTTTATGATTATCAATGATGTTCGGAAATACTTCATTGATGAGTTCGTCTTTTGATGACACGAAATTGCAAAAATTTGATGGAAATGCAATTAATCCGCTCGATTCTTCAACAGCTACACGGCCATTACCGATTAACAGCAATTGCTTGGAGAACTCTTCAGCAGATGTATCGTTTACCAATGCAACTCTCATGTTTGTTACCAGCTGAAGTTTCTTCACATAGCGCCAAAGATTTGATGATTTAAGGCAAGCATTTATTTCGTCGGCAGCAGTCGATTTTGGAATGACTGGGAGTGTTTGGCGAAAATCGTCAGACAGTAAAATCATTGCACCTTCAAAACATCTCGAGTCATTGCGAAGATCTTTCAATATTCTGTCAAGTGCTTCCAATGCGCGTTTGTGCGCCATTGTGCATTCGTCCCAGATGATGATTTTAAATGCTACTAAAACTTTAGCCATTGCAGAATGCTTCGCAATATTACATATCGGTTGCTCGGTAGTTTGAAGGCTTAACGGCAATTTTAACGCTGAATGAGCCGTACGGCATCCTTCTAACAATGTAGCCGCTATTCCAGAAGAAGCAACTGCTACCGCAATGTCGGAATATCGCGCGAACAGTGGCCAAAATTAATGACATGAGGAATGTTTTACCAGTTCCACCGGGGGCGTCCAGGAAAAAAAGCCACCATTTTCTTCTTCAATCGCTTTCATTAATGTTAAACTTCCTTCTGTTGCGGATTCAATAGAGGTACATTAGTTTGAACTGATTGGTCTAATTCATGTCGATCATATTCACGTTCACGTTCCAATTCTCGATTAAATACGTTATTTATTCCACGATCAGGAGCTGGCATTCCTAATCTGACTAACAAACTACCGCAGGTATGGTAACATATGTCTTCGATCAAGAGCAAAGCCTGATTATGCATTTCATCATTCACCTCAAGATCGAGATTTTTTGAACTAACACGAATTCTATGTAAAATGTCTTCTGACATGTTATCCTTATATTTGTTCCACAGGTCAAGTGGATTCGATGGATCTTGACAATAATATTTATTATTATATTTGGATTTATCTATTTGAAATTCAAATATGAAATATTGAAAAAAAAAAATTTAAAAAAGAAATCAATATCGCTCAACTGTCAACTGTTCAACAGTTGGAAACAGATTTACCAAATTTATTATTTTGCTAAATTAGTAGATTTTTCACATTTTATAATGTATTCTGCTATTCTGATCGGGCGATTCCAACACAATCAAATAATTAAATCGTTTCAGACCTTCTTGAGTTATGATGTTGTACAGCTAACACGAACTTTCTTTTATGTATCAGAGATCAATTACTCTGGGTTGCATAAAAATGTGGTTTATAATTGTCTGAGTTTATCCAAATAACCAGAAATCAACTGACCAACAAGTAACCACTGTAAGTTGATTAAATATAAAATATTTTTTTTTTACATTTAAATAAAAAAATTTATGTAAAAATTATTTTTATAACTTTTAGCATAAATCACTTTCAATCAAATATAATTGGCATTTGGTATTTGGCCGCTAACGAAATTGAAATCCAATTTTTTGTTCAATGCAACAGTTAATCTGTCCGGAGTCTATTTGCGGCCCTGCTGAGTTTTGGTTTGCCCGGGTGAAATTACATTAAATTTCATTGATTCTGTGATTAACACGGTTCACGCGCTGGCATGGAGCAATTTTAAGCCCCGAACAATGGAGCGCTTATACCGCCTACATAACTCCAATATTCCACAGATTCACTTATGCAGGATTTATTTTTTAATGCAGGAACATACATATGTGATTAAACATATTTTATGTGTTTATTATAGAAAAATATGTGTAAAAATATGGCGGCACTGTCAGATTCATAAGCAGTTAATACACCGAGTTAATTTGTGTTTATAGTATATTCTGTGGATATTAATTTTTAATTATTTGCATATCAAATTTATTGCCAATATTAAAAAATGACTTGGTTGGCAGGGTGTTCACATGAAGTCCTATCATAAGGACTGTTATCAATAACGCATAAAATTGCAAATATTTTTGCAATTTCAATTATAAATCATTATAACTCATAATTAAATTTTTTGCTTAAATGTTCCTGCGGCAATTCACTTTGTGGAATACTGATAAAAATCTTTCGCTTCATAATCATGGACTAAAAGAGTATGTAATATTATTAAATATAATCAATTGAGTAAATTATTTAAAAAAGTAAATATAATCAGATTTAATGTTTCATTCGTAGTAATTAAAAAAACTTTTTGTTTTTTAATTTATTACATATTAAAATCGCTTAATTGTCGATTAAAATAAAAGAATTTTGTTACATTGTGAAAGGAAATTAATATTTATAATCTCTTTTACATCACCAAAGAGATAATAAATAGTTTATTGTGTATATGTGTGGAAACGCTGTTGAGAGTAACACATATATCTAAAATAAGAAATAAGTTAACAGTGAACTGGCTTACGCTAGAGCGGGATACTGAGATCATCTCAGTATCCCGTACAGTTTATAAAATGTATATTGCATATATTATATGACTTTAATACTTAGTTTTCAAAAGAAACTGTTATGGAATCATTGTCCATTGTGTTCTATCTTATGCGTATATCTAAAACCGAATAAACATTAACAGTAAACTGAAAATATTGAGATCATGACAGATCTTTTTACTGTGAGCTAACCATAACTGAGCAGAATATACTTAGCGTATGAAGTCAGATTGTCAACTGTTTGGTTTTTCTGATATCAGAGGATAGTGATGATATAATTTCTGTATTAATTTAGTTTTTAAATGAGACTTTGAGTTTTGGAATCGTTGTTCATAGTTACATGTATATCTAAAACAACATATAAATTCATATTGAAGTGGCTTCCACCGGAGCGAAATATTGAAGCCATTTCAGAGTTTTTTACTATAACCATAACTAAATAGAAGACAATCAGCGAATGAAATCAGATTGTCATTTGTTGGGAATTTACTGATATCAGAAAAGTTATCTAAAAAAATTACTCTTGGCATCTTATTTTCTGCCTAATCCAGATCAGAGGCAGGCAGTCACATAAAGAGTGATTACACGCTTTATGTGTCTGCAAGAATACTCGTAACCGATATCAATCTCAGAAAACCCCTTAACTCTGTTCTACTAAGGAGGGATAGTCATTTGTTCGACAGTTACTCGTAGTGTTGCTTCAATAGTGATTTCTTTAGTTTACAATCTATTTTTTTAACAGGGATTTAGTTGTGGATCAACTTATAGGTACATTTAACTAAGTATAATTTGAAATCTATGGCTTACTTTTGTCATAAAAGTAAAAGTTGTATAAGTCATTTGAGTATATAATTAAGCACTGTTTGTAATCCAAAAAAAAAAAATTTTTTTGACTTAATATACGCGGATTTTCGTTTTTTACAACTTTTTCTTTTTAGGATGGTAGTATTGTCGCTGTGTCTATTTTTAGATTTAGTAGAATTAATAGAGACTTTATAATAATCTTATAAAATATTATTCTATTCAAACTACAGGCCTTTCAGTTTATATCCACGCAAGTTTTTCGAAGCTAAAATATTCCTGAACTTGCATATTTTAGAATATTTTTGTTTCGGTATTAGTCGATATTGAATCAGAAGTTGGACTTATCAATGAAGAAAATTTTGCAGTCTAAAGTGCAATTATGACGAAAATGATAATCGTTTATTTCTGCATAATAATTTCTTGACCAATTGTGAACCTAATAACACCATTAATTTTTTGTTACAT